GGACGAACACATCGTCGAAGTAACTCGGTGCGAAGTCTCGCACCGGTCTCAACAGATTTGTAACACATCTGTTGAATGTTGCAGGGGCATTACTCAGCCCCTGTGGCATCACTAGCCACTCCCACAGCATCCCGCTGGGGGTACTCACTGCCGTGAATGGGGTGTCCCGTTCACGCATCAGGATCTGATAGAATCCATCCATCAGATCCATGGACGAAAAGATGGTACTCTTTGACATACCATCTATGATTACGTCCTTCCTCGGTATCGGCGTCTGAGCCGGTACCGTTGCAGCATTCAGCTTGTCGAATGCGTGCACTATCTGCCACCCTCCTGTGGCCTTTCGCGCACAGAAGGTCGGAGAGCTGTGAGGGGATGTTGATTCCCTCACATGGCCCGCTGCTAAGCGATCGGCAAAGAACTTGTAGATCGCTAGTACTTGTTCACGAGGCATTGGCCACTGCTTCATGACACAGTACTTCGAGCCCGGTTTGAGCTCGATCTCGTGTCGAGTGCCCTTTGTCCTTAGGCAACTCGCAAGGTACGGATTCAGGGAACACATCCCTGAATTCGATCAAATCCTTATACAAAGGATTCGCCTGAAGTGACTCCCAGGATTGAGACGTGTATCGCTCAATCCGAGTCTTCTCATCGAGGACACTTTCGTCCATCGATGAGCTGCTGAGAACCCGTTCGTTCTCAGCAAATACGTCTGCCGACCGAATTTCGGCCACATACTCATCCTCCGTGACGAGTATGCAGATCTGCTTGACTTTGCCACTACGCAGATCACGCAAGAACCGTTTCGGTTCTAGCGTTGGCAACTGAGTTGTCTCCGAAGTTGACTTCGGAGGCACAATCAGATCAAGCGTATAAGCGCCAACGCTTGATCCTTCATTAACCAAGACGTTCAACGACTCGTTTCTTCCTGGGAACTTGCTTCCACAGGTTGCTGAGGTCCTGATCCTTCAGCAAGTGACTCTAGAGGAATTCCTACCTCAAGTACGTGGGGACTTATTCCCTCGACGTCTTCTGACTGTGGCTGTGCAACCACAGTCAGGAACCGATCCTCTACGGTCGACTCTCCAGTCGACCTAGGATATTCATGTTGCCCCTTGGGGGCAACAGATTTCTTTCTTTTAAGATGCTGCCCGCTAGGCATGCATCCATGTCCCGGTCCACTCGACTTATTCGAGTGGTGGACCTTCGGCGCAGCCTGTACTTCTGTACATCCGCCGGGAGCTTGCTCCACAGTGTAGTGATCAACTACACTGTGATCTTGTGCAGTCGTGCTAACGACCGTACCGCAAGTGAGGCCATCGCACTCACTCGTAGAACATCCACACGCTTGTGGACGCTCCAAGATGTTCATCAGATGGCCATCTGATGAACAAGAGGCAGGCATCTTCACGAATCGATGCTGCCAGCTCACCCTTGGCTCGTACTTTCTGAGCCAAGGTAATCTCAGGATGACATCAAATTTGTCATCCAGATCTAGCACGATGAAGTCATCATCGTACTGTTCGCCCTCTAACGTGTAGTGGATTCCTACTACACGTTTCTCAACGGTTATCGATGCGCCTGTTGCTAGGCGCACCGTCATCCTTGTGAGGGGAATGTCGCGCTCAACGAACTTGATCCTACGACCCTCTAGTGACTGGCGTCGAACAAAGTTGTTCGACGCCCCACAGTCTACTAGGGCACGAAGCGACAAATCATTTGTCGCTTCCAACTTCAAGGTGATGAGCGAAACGTCATCACCAGGTGCAGAGACACACAATGATTGTGTATCTGGAGCAACTTTCGTCAAGAGATTTGCAAAATCTCTTGAGGTTGCTGGATCAGTAGGGCGCTCCGCTCCTACTGACCCCGACCATTTTTTGACGGTCCGTCTCGCTGTTGCGGCTTCGCAACAGCGCTCGACCCACGCCCATTGCTCTTTCTGGCAAAAGGTCGTCCATTTCGCTCAGTACTGTTTGGTACTGGGCGTGGAGCACTACACTCGTATGCGTAGTGCCCTAACTTCTGACAGCGATTGCACCTCTGCAATCGCTTGTTGTTCGAAGAGCCAGGTCTCTCGCTCTCAACATAGCAGAGGTCCATTGGTTCTGGGCCTCTGATCTCTTGTCGTCTCGGTGGACGATAAGAGTTTGAGCTAGCATGAGCCTGTCTCATGCTAAAGTCTTCCTGTTCCGCGGCTGATATCGCATTTTCCAGCGTATTCAGCTCAAGGCGGAACAGGTGGCTCCTGACGGGCCCTTCTGCGAGCCCTTGCATGAACACCGAAATCAACGTGTGTTCATGGACTGGGTTAGCAGTTATACTACTCTCGAGGAGTCGTATATGTTGAGCGTAAGCGTGCACATCACGCTTACCCTGCTTGAGTTTCAGGAGCTCTGAACGAGCCCTGAACTCAGCCCGTGGCGGCTCAAACGTTTGTCTGAGCCGGAATTTGAAGTCATCTAGCGACCTAAACACATGTGGGTCGCTACTCCCGAGTCCCAGGGACCAAGTTTTGGCACGCCCTGCCAAGTGGGTCTGAGCAAATGTGAGTTTCATTTGCTCATCTTAGACGCGACGATCCCTTAGGGCTCTGTCGAGTTCGACAAACCATAGTAGCAGGGAGTCCTCCGGGACTCCACTGTACTTGGAGATGTCAACCTCCATGACTTTGGGACGACGCGCATGCGCCGTCCCGCCCACAGCAGCATGGAATTGCTGCTGTCTCAACAGCTCCGTCTGTTGAGCACCGAGTTCTCTCAACTGCTCGGCCTGTTGAGAGCCTTGCTGGTGAAGCAAGGCTACTTTCTCCCTCTCGATGGCAAGTTCATTTTGAATGAACTTGGCTATAGCGGCATGTTGTTGGTCTCTGTATAGAGACTCAAACATGGTGCTGACGACGAGTTCGCCTACGGTAGAACTCATTCGTTCTACCGCACCCCATTCGATGTCACTCAAATGGGTAAACCCTTCACGCGTGGCGTGAAAGGTGTCTTCTTCATCCAACATGTTCATGTTGGATGATGTGGTCCTTGGAAGGACTACAAAATGCTACCAGGTGTAACGGGGCACACCCTTGCGTGAACTTAACGCAAGGGTTTTGGGTGCCCCGACAGACGTACACGTGGCAAGCGAGAAAGCGTAGGTAGGGTAAAAGTAGAACTGTTATATTAATAAATTAAGTCTTTAAACTACTGTCTCTTCGTTTGACTTAATTCAATTATACTAATATAACTGGATGTATGGTGACGTCTCGTCACCACTCATTGCGCGCGTCTTGCGGCGATTGGTGGGTTGATATCATCAAGATATCAACCAATAAACAGACCCTTTGGTCGACCCTTCAATATCACCACTTTGGTGATATTGTTTAAAGAATATCCATCTTTATATTCTTTATTGTCACTTTCCTTAAAGTGACAATTTCATGTAACGGGCTGCCCCGTTACAGTGACAGTAAGTGCGACGCCGTCCAGCGATATGATCCGAAATTTTTACCAACCTGGTCTGACCTCCAGGCAGTGTCACTTCAAGAAACTGATCTGATCCTGGTAAATCAGCTGTTATGATGGCAGCTACTGTGCGTGTCACGGCTGAGCTAGTACTTTACATTGTGAGTCGCTCGCTAGCCAGAGAGCCGATGACAAAGATAAACCAAATTGAAAATCTTCTTCCGCTTTGATTTGTGCAAACCTTCGTATGCTTTCCATCCGTCATGTGTTTGATATGTGTTGAATGCTTGGTAACGCATGCGCAACGGTAGGATCGTCCCAACAACGATAATCTTCTTGTGTCATGCGCTTAAGTCGTTTTGCTGTCATGAGATCTTTTATCTGCTACCACCGTCGAAATAAGAAATTCTTCGTGGGAAGAAAATGCTTTTGCCAGAATACTGCTCCACTGTAATTTGCCAAAGCCGCTCTATGTGCAGCCGCAGAACTGAATGCATCTGCTGCGCCGTAGTATCATCCAGATCTGCAGCCAGTCGTTGTGCTGCAAATCCTATCGACAGCGACCGCGTCATCATCTACCGACATTTCTCACGTATCAGGCTGGACAGAATCGCCTTTTCATGAGCCCTAATTGAACTTAGTGGCTTTTGCTACTGACTATTTAAGGCCGGGTGTCGCCATCGCTTGTTGACGTGGCTAGCTCTGCACCTTGCTAAAGAAGAAGCCTACTCGTTCAGCGCCAACATTTTCTTGGTGCTTACCCATCGAGGTTTGTAATTCGCAACCACAGTCTCAGATCTCTGCCCAGCACGATGCGCTGTTTTGGCCAAAGTTGATTCCTCCAGATTCGGAATGTCATACCAGTTGTTTTGTGCGTCGTCGAGAGGGTCCAAGTACGCTGGACATTTAAGTAGCCTGGCAACATATGCTGGAGCAGTATCCGCACGCAGCATTTTGACGGGTCTTATACTACATCCGGTTGGTTTGCTTGAGCACATCGATCCCGCAGCCACATGTCACATCCAAATGGTGGGTATGGACGTCCCTTTCGCTCGAACAATCTGGTATATGCTGCATGAAAGAAAACTTTCGGGTGTGTGTGACACCACGAAGCATGCACTGTTTTGTGGCTGTGACGCTTGTCGACAGAACTAGCCGGATCCTTATATTGAACTGCATCTGCTTATAGAGATTGTGCAACGTGCCTTCAACATAAACTGATGACAGCTGGTAATATGGCGCGTATAGGCAAGTCCGATCAGCAGCACGTAAGCAGCCACCGCACAGGTTTGCCCACGACATGTCTGCGTTCATGACCGCCTTTCGCCACTGATGCTAGAATTAGGTTGTCTTAACGATCAGACTCATTAGATTCTGGTCTGGACGTCGCATGGCCGTCGTCTGGCCATCGCCGCTAATGAATGGTCTTCCGCAGCTGAAGCACAAAACCGCCTCTGTGTCGCTATAGGATCTGCCTCCTTCTCTCATTTATCATTTTGCGCCGCACTGCGATCTTCCTTATCCAACCCTAGTCACTGTGTTCCTGGCATGAAGCTCTTGTACCCCCGTGCTGTCTTCGTCACTGGCGTGCTGTCCGCTGTTTCAGACAGCGCTTTGGAAAGCAACGAACCAGAGGCTGCGGCACCTGTTGCTCGTGCACACGAGCACACGACGGTCAAGAAATTACTAAGGACCGATTCTGTTGTCGAAGATGAGCAAGAAGAACGAGTTTTTTGGGGATTCATGGACGATGTCTTGAACATAGCAGCTCAAAGCGTGGATACTGCTGTGGGGACTGCCATCGATGTCATTCCCCGTGCTGTTGACGATGTCGTGAGCGCTATCGACGATGTTTATCATGCTGTGGATAATGCCGTGGACGCCGCCATGGATGCGGAACCTTCTATTCGAGCATCTGCAACACACCGAAGCTCAGCGCACGTCCCCGTTCCACATGCACGTGCTAGAGAAGTGTCGCACTCGTTCCCAGTCGCTATAGAAAGGCTGGATGATCTTAAGTCAGAAGCCATCAGCATTATTTTGGATCACCGTTCCAATTTGGCGTCCCCTCCCCATTCGGTCGAGTATACAATCAAATATCTGGACAAATTTACCCCGTTCGAAGGGGCATATGTGATGCAAGCTGTTAAGTCGCATGGGGAGACGACTGATAAGGTGCTCAAATGGATGCGTTCGGTGGAAGATTCTCAGCTGCAAAGGATGAGAGAGGAAAACGTTCGCCCTGACGAACTTCGATCATCGTGGCTTGAGCCAGTGCGGGAGAATGGCGTGGAGTATCATGAGGAGGTTGTGGAAGCTGTGATAAACGATTTCGCGACCTATTTGGCACGGGCGGATGTACATCTCCAATGAGATTCCCTCTAGGTCTTCATAGGTCGGCCTGTTGAGGTTTATTTTTCCGTACCTTTAATGAGTCTACTTTTTTTGCGTTAATCTTATGTTTCCGTGCTATGACCGATCAGTCGCATCTTTATCACTCGCTTGCATCTGACTAGTGCTGTTCACACAGCAATATAATAGTATAGCGGTAGCCCTAAATGATACCTTCGATAACGAAAAAATGAACTTTGCAACAAGTATTCGGATATGATTAGTCACATAAATAACAGCAGACATATTCGATGATAGTATTTAGATAGAGGTTGTCCCCGTTGGTCACGATGCAGCTACATTGACGACAGTAAATCAAAAACATTGTCATACAGTTGCAGACACGCCACGTAGATAACGTGCCGGACTCACGATCTTTATTGATGTATATGGTGCTTCAAAGGGCTGGGAGATAGGCAAGTAATGTGGTTTTATAATGGACGACAGTTCCAAATTAATTTTGTGAGTCCTGCTTTTTACACAAACAAGGCGATGAACGACACGGGCGTTGTTTTACGCTTGTGTCAACTAAGTCCTGTCTGTAGAAGCTTACTGACGTTAATGTACTACGTCAAAAAAAGTAAGGCTGTCTTATAAAGGGACTCGGTTGGTATTGAGACTAAAAGCGTTTTATTGTACCCTGCCGCTCCTCGTGCTTGTGTTTACATGTTTTGTAGAGCTGTACATGAAACAAATTATATGTAACAGAATGCCCAGACAGTACTGAACACCAGCTCTAACCACAGAGTGTGCAGGTGCATCGATACCGCTCGTACACCTACATGAAAAAAGTCTTTCCGATACGAAGACGTTTGTCGACGTCCAACAGAAAGCTATATTTTTTGTAGTTTAGCGTATCAATAAATTCTGCTTTTGCTTTATCACCTGTATCTTAATATAAGCAGGACCGGCAACTACCTGCCCGCCACGATTGTGCGCGTTACTTTCTCATTGGAAACCTTGTTAATAAATATAATGGCATACGATAATTGACAGAGCCAAGATATTTGAATACTTCAGATCAATATAATTTTTTATGAAGTGTATCCGAATATAAACTGTTAAAGTGTGATGTTGCGGCGATATTTTTAAGATGTGTATTGCATATTAAGAGTAGTCGTAGGTTGATAAGTAGGCTTCCATCAATGGCAATTTTTATATGGCCACGACTAGGGGCAGACCCCACTTTTGCTTGCGGCACACCCCATTTTCGCAACGGGCACACCCGCCCGCCTGAATCGATTAAAAGGACCTCACATTTTATAGTGAAGAATTATATGTCTAACAAGTAGTCACTTACTACTGCTTCCTATCTCCCAACGGTATACGGCAGATCCCCGCTTGCGCGAGATTATATCAATCCATCGTGTCCAGGGCGGTATCCAAACGAGAAATGACTGCTGCAATCTTTACTGTCTCGAACACGGTATCCAATCCGATAGTACAATACCGAGTGACCTGTTCATCGGCAGTGACAACGACTCGATTTTTTCGACATTTTTTTTACCGATAAAGTCACCGAGAAATACATAATGCTTACAGTACGTAAGGGGCTTTGAGGCTACGGTTGCTTTTGAGGTACTTACAGGTACATACCAATAAATGTCCCACTTCGGGCAGATCATTTCAAGAAAACAGATGAAAAATACGCACGAAAAAATTAATCATCATGCTAAAATTCCGTCGCTTTCTTTCATTTTCACTAAGGTTGTGAATGTTCTATAGGTCCCACCACTATCGCACTTGTAGATAACCAGTTGCAGACCCCGCTTCGGTTCATTGATCTGGCGACGATGATGGTATACCCTTGATAGCCGTTTACCGTTTTTGAAGTTGTTTCCATTTCGTTTCTGGAAAAAAGCTGGTAACATTGAGAGCGTCAGGTGGGAATTAAATCTATTCCAGCGACAATTGTCCCTCTCACGGGCTTTCGTACGTCATTTTGTGAGTTCATCTGGTGTATGTTATATCCGGTAATTTCAGTCGTATTGTATGAGTATGAGTATGAGGGACATAGACTCAATTGCGCGGCCAAGACAGGTGTTTAATAGATGTTCTTCTTCTTTTGCATTAAATGGAATACACGTTAATGGCTAGATCCCTAGTCCAAACACAATCAGCAATTCAGATAAGTGCTTCAACATTCAATTGTAATGTTCCGTACACACATTATTTTGCACCATATGATGTGACGTCCTTTATTTATTCTCGGCGCGCGGGTGTGCCCGTTGCTTCAATAGAGTGTTCCCCTAGTCGTGGCCTTTTTATATAGGCCAAGACTTCGGATGACGGTAATTTGGTAAGGAATACCATGCGGGTAATTGAAACTCAAAATCCAGCATACGCATTTGAATTGCGACTGGCAATTACGGTATGGTGTTTCGATTTTACCACAGACTTGAGACCCCGAAGCTATGTCCGTCTTGACACGCAAACATCTTAATTATGGGTAGTAAGTTCTATGAGGATTTTATACTCTAGAGTACTCACGAAAAGGAACTAAATAGGAGTTGGAGTACCTAGTTGCTAGGTGTAGGACTGGACCTATCGGATTTTAAAAGTGATCAATACCGTATTGCCCAACCTGTTTAATATAACTTACGTTCTGATTTTAATCCCGCTCCTGTGCCCATCAAGGATCTATATACAGCTCTATAAAAATCACCTTATAATATAACGTTAGTTTTAGTACTGTCAAAAGAATTTTATTCTTATGACGCTAAATCACATATACAAGTTATGTAGATCAGATCTAAAAAAACCTGATTGTTATTCAAGTAAAAACGAAGATTTATGTGAATTTTATGTAATTGCACAATTTTTCGTGCAAGACGCCCCCTTATTTAAAACAAAATTTTCTTCGCGAATCATCTACTGGTACAGCTTACACAGTTATGTGTTGGCATAGTTTACATGGCCTTTTTGCCTCATAAATCATAAATGAGCTGTAGAAGCGAAATGTAGTCAATTATAGAAAATCATTAGATTTTGGCCTTCACCTGTTTGCTATTCCTTACGAGAAATATTAGCCGACTATATCCGGAATACAGATGTAGACATCATCGAATCACATTGGTATTAAATGTCGACCTGGTCTTGATCGATGTGATACACGTATTTGAAAGTAGTATTAATCTACTAACCAATTTCTGCTATTCATATCCCATTTTACTATATGAGCTCACTTCTGCCGACGAGAAATTCCTTTAGTATGTGGGGATTTGATAGAAGCCGGCGATCAGACAAAAGACGGAAAGATGGAAGGTATTCAATGTGTAATCGATAATTGTGGCTTCTCTCGATACAGAAGTCCGAGCTGATGCTGTTGCAGCATATATGTAGTGAAATGCGTGCCCTACCTGTCATCGTTTAATGACCGGACGCGCACACAAAAGGTCAGATAGCTTCTATCGAAAGCACAACTATTTAAGCGATTAGAAAGATCTCGAGGATATTAACTACTTGTTATGAGGATCGTCGAACGGGTTAGTGACAGCGCTAATATAAATATCAATGAACTTGATTTCATGCCAAGTGAAGTTCTAGCCTGAGGAAATGCTTTAAGTACGGTGTAACATACCAAATATTGGTCGTATCCAATACTCCTTAAAGGTGATATTTCGTGTGTGTTAAAAATGGAAAACATTAAACGTCTGATATATGGCTTTATTATCATTAAGGCCATAATTCTTGCATGAAATGGTAAGTGTTTTTTCCCTCAAATATTGTATTCGGAAGAATCAAGTTCCGTCTTTTTATTATCGCAGAGGACGAATGTACAAATCGATAATAACTAAATAATATGTGTTTTATTTTACCTTTAAAGCATTTTAATTTGTAGACGGCAAAAGCTCCCGTCCATTTCTATCCTAGTCAAATGTATCCGGCAACTAAGCGCAGGCGCAACTGATGCTGCTAAATCCTCTTGCAAATAAATTTAAGAGATGCACTTATTTTTTTGGGTGCGGGATGACCAGATAATTATTGTAACAGATTTACGTTACTTTTATGTAATAGCTAAATTCACACCCCCTTTCGTTAGGATTCGCATCCTTCCTTCAAAATCTTATATATACAAGGTACGCAATCGCCGTTGGACAAAGAAGAGTACTTGCTCTGCCACTTGGCTCTGGGCGATATCTTGCGCGCTGCTGTATCTGCTGGCACCGACGTAGGGAAAAAGGTCAAAGCCGCGATGGAGTCGAGCGCAATTGAGACCGACGAGATTGTCGTCGGTATTAGTACGGACGTCATTAAGAGTTCGGAATGCCGTCGTGGCTTTATTCTTGACGACTTTCCACGAACGGTCGTGCAGGCCAAAAAGGTGAGAACAAGAGGGGATATAGACGAGTTTCCAGGTTGTAACGCAGAGGCTGACCATAGTTCCCTCTTTTTGTATGCGTAGTCCTCGCAAATAAATTTTTACCTGCTGGCCTTCAATGACGTCTCTTGCGCTGGCTGGGCGTACGTGTTAATCTTAACAGTGACAACAGTCTTCAAGGCGCGTAAAGGTGGCGATCTGAACTAAGCCAAGTGGCACAAACCACGTGGGACGTTGTGTCACTGCCGCTTAAAGCGGTTCAGACGATGGCCGCAATGGAGATCGTGCACGATGGCGTGAGCAATCTATTCGGCGTGAACTGGTCTGGCATTGGCGCTCTTTTGCAACCTTTGGTACGTTTACGGCACCTCGATTACATTTAAGGTAAACACGCTTTCCTGCAATAGAACTTTAAATCGTAACAGCATAACCTTGACCACGTGCGAACGTCTGCACAGTATCCATAAGTTGCTCCCGACTGGCATACTCAATTTCGGGAGGAGGAAGCATGTTATTGCGTGGTGCCCTATCAGTAAACGATGGAGGAGCTAGACCACAATCGTGGGTAGTATATTATGTATTTTCTACGTAATACTTGCCAATAAATGGCCTATATTATTAAGTAATACCTCTGTCAGAAATCAAATCTTAACATGAACAG